GCATCTAGTGCATATTTGGTTCTCTTTTGCATGTTTTTCTTATCCTTTGTCTCATTTTCTTCTCTTTTTAGACTTAGGTTGCATTTAGGGTTTAGTTTGCATTTTCTTTGCATAAAAGATGTTTACAGGTACTCATTGAGCTACAAGGAGCATGGGAGATAATGGTGGGTGCAGCACAAGACATGAAAAGAGCCAAGAAGAAGGAGCACCTTGTTGAAGCGGCCAGAAACTTCACCTGACAAAACTGGCTCGGACAAAGCATCTCCAACACGATTCATCTTCAACAGTCTTCACCAATGTTGTAGCCCCGTGAGTTAGCTTGCGTCTGGAGTTTGTTTCAGGTCATTCCCATCATTGGTTAGAATGTTACAGAAGTTTTCGTGAAACCGCTCAACTCCTATCGGTCTGTGCACTGAGGCTATCGGTCAGGAGTGACCGACATAAACCCAGCGAATGAATTTCGGTCACCAGTATCGGTCAGGAGTGACCGACATAAACCCAACGGATGAATTTCGGTCACCAGCATCTGTCAGAAGTGATCGACATAGACCCAGCGGATGAATTTCGGTCACCAGTATCGGTCAGGAGTGATCGATAGGATTCATATCGACTGAAGTTCAGCTCAGATGAGGTGTTTCCATTCCAATTTGGCTTCGGAGTCCTTCATCAACTTTGTAGCCACTTGCGTTAGCTTTCGTTTGTAATTGGTTTCGAGTCATTCTCATCAGTGGTTGAAGAGGTACGGCGAATAAAGTGAGCACATGTCCATCTGGAGTTTTTACCGTTGATCTTGACTGACTTGAAGATCAGCTCGTAAGAGTTGCCTCCGTCCCTATTCAGCATCTTCACTCTTCACAAAAGTTGTAGCCACGTGAGTTAGCTTTCAGGATAACTTGGTTTCAGGTCATTCTGATATGCCGTTCAACAGATATCGCAATTTTCGTGAAACCGCTCAATCCATTTCGGTCACTGAAGACCGACGCAACTGACCGATACGTTGCCAGACTGAAGACCATTTATTTACAATTTTGCCATTTTCGCTTAGACTCCTATAAATACTTGAAATCTCTAATTTCTGGAGAGACATCTCTTTATCCAGCAGTCTCTTCTTCTTTGTTTGAGCTTTTTGACTTTGTATTTGAATCTTTGCTTATTTCAATAATAGTTTGCATTGTCCTTAATCTTTTGTCTTTCTAATCATGATTAACTATCTTTTCTTCATAGATTTGATGGTTTTCACCATGTTTAGTGAGTAATTTGCTTTAGGTTTGAGATTAGGACAGATGGGGTGATTTTAGTGATTGTTTAGGTTGATTAGAGCTTAGATCTTCTCATTCCCTTTCTTATATGATTGTGCTTAATGCTTAGTACCTCTTTGTTGGAGAAGTTGATTTTAGGTTTTCACATGCCCACCAAGTGTTTGATGAAATTCCTGAATGAAGTTCAATGCTTGAAAATGGTGTTTAGATAATCATGAGTCTTTGCATCTATCATTTTCTGCTTGAATATGCTTATTGCTTAGTACCATATTGATGAGAAAGTGCCTTTAGACATTGATTATGCATGAGAATGTGAGTTGATGTTTGATATATCATATAAGAGATTAGTAAACCTAGCCTAAGAGATTAGATGTCTAGCATGTTAATTGGTTTTATGGAACTTGATTTTAATGTTTGATGACTATGTGTTTGAGTAAAGAGATTTATCTTGAATATGTGATTAGAAAAAGGATTAATGCCAAGAGATTGAATTAGTCTATATTAGTGTTCCTTACCTAAGTTTGAGTGTTTAGAATTGCTTGTTTTGATCACCCTAGACATGAACATGAATCATCCTATCACCATTGCCTTGATCTTGAACCATCTTTTCATCTTTGAAGTTTAGTTTTACTTTGTTTTAGTTCAGCTTTTACTCTGTTTTTGCTCTGTTTCTTATTGCCTCTATTGCTCTTTAATTGCTTTCTTTTGCTTTCTTTTGCTTCTTTGCTTGATCACATAGGTTGTTAGACATCTAAAACTATCTAAATCTGCTTGAATTAAGATCTCTATTGCATTCTTACTGTTTCATTCTCTCCTTTTGGATTGATAAAACCATATCCTATATTACAACTGATTAGTTTAAGCTTGAGTAATTGAATCAAATCCCAAAAAGTCAATCCTTAATTCAATAACACATATATTTTAAAAAAATTAATAATATATATAACTGAATAATATTGGTATTTAATAGAATTTTTAATTCCCTATAATCCCATCCAATTTCTAAATCCAATATCCCCCACCTTAGGTTCCCGTGTGCGGGAAGGAGCACCTCTTAAGAATTTCAAACTCAAGAAAGGAAAGACAACCGTTGGTCAATACCCCTTTATATCCTTATAATTACATATCTGCCATTACCCTTTATTACCTTTCGCTTTCCCTTTCTCTTTTCTCCCAAATTCATTTTCGTTTTTTTCGATCGCACTGCTTCTCAAGGTTTGCGTCTCTTCCCATTTTCTCTCGTTTAGGGTTTCCGAACGATTTGATTTCTGACTTTTGCTGTTTCTTCTTCCTTATTAGGGTTTCGGATCGCTCAACTTTTCGTAAGTTTAATAGACGTTTCTGGGTTTCTTAAGCGATGGGTCAGATCCAGTACTCAGACAAATATTTCGATGATACTTTCGAGTACAGGTAAATCCTCCGTTTGATTTGATTCTCTTCCCATTTTAATGGAGTTTTTGATTTCTTATCGCGTGATTTCTTTTCACTCACACAGGCACGTCGTGCTTCCTCCTGAAGTTGCTAAGCTTCTACCGAAGAACCGTATTCTTTCGGAAGTAAGTTTAATTAGGGTTTCCTCTATCTTTACGTTTTTTTGTTATTCGCATTGTGATGGAATTGTGATTGTGAATCTAATTCTTGAGCATCGAACGCTTTTGAAATTGAAGTTTAGGAGAATCAAATTGATAGTTTCGGCTTAGGATTTGAAGTTCTGCTCATCATTTGCCTCTCTGGGTTTCTCTTGCTTTGATCCGATTACAACTTTTACAAATAAAAAAGACTGTTTGGAAAATCGAATTGACAGTTTTGGCTTAGGATTTGAAGTTTGCTCATCACTGCTTCTCTGGGTTTCTTTTGCTTTGATCCGATTACAACTTTTACAAATACAAAAGAGTGTCTTCTCTACTTGTTTGTGATCTTAACACCTTTGAATCCATACCTTAATCTGAAAAAAACCCAGAGATTTGACTGTACACATAGTTTTTTTTTGTTTTAAGAAGTTGACATTATTCTCTTCTCAAATTAGAAGGGAGCTTTATAATTGTGTTCTTGAGAGAGTCGACTTCATGTTTTGTAATTACAAAATATGCTTAATCGAGTTCATAAACTTGTTTATAAGTTTAGAGAAATGTAATGGTGGAATTTTAGGTTTCAGTGATGAAGTTGAATCTGTCACCACAATAGCTTCTCCTTCCTGATTTGATCAAGAGGTGAATCTTTATTTACAATCTTGCTTTTTACAGAGTGAATGGCGTGCGATAGGAGTGCAGCAAAGCCGAGGATGGGTTCATTACGCAATTCATCGTCCTGAGCCACACATTATGCTTTTCAGGAGGACTCTCAACTACCAACAAGAGAACCAAGCTCACAACGTGATCGCTAAGTAGAGTTCATAAAAGACTTTTCATAAAATATCGGTTTATGTCTCTCATAAACACTCTTATGCATTCTCCTATTTTTCTTATGTTTCATGAATTCTCTTTTCAGTAGAGAGGATTGTGTGATTTCGTAGAAACCACTTTTATTTTTATGTTATGCAAGTCTGGTTCTTTGCTAGACTTTTGTTTGTTTTCACGTTGAACTTTTGTCTATGGTTATAATACCGTTATTTCTTTGGCTTCTTGTTCTTTTGAAAAATAATGTTGGGGTTTTGTATTCATCCATCGTTGTACAGTAGAATCTGTATAAATTAATACTCAATAAATTAATAATCACTATAAATTAATAATTTTTGCCAGTCTAAGTAGGATGAATGTAAAAATTGACAAAATTCAATAGGATAATAAGATAATATTTTTTTGAAAATTTTATGTAAAAATATAGTTCCAATAATAATATAAATTAATAATTATACATATAGACATATATTAATAATATAATATAGTAAACTATGATAATATTGTTATTTCAAGTTTATAAAATTTGTTTGATTTGTCTTCTAAATTCATTATTATGACATTTTTTAAATGAATTTTACATTGTTGAAAATATTAATTTTTTTTTTTGATGAATATTAAAAATTTGAAATAAAAATATCTCTATAAATTAATAAAATATTAATTTATCGATAAATTAATAATTATTAATTTATCGATTAATTAATAACTCTATAAATTAATAAAATTTGAAAGTCTCAATATTATTAATTTATAGAGGTTTTACTGTATTTAGTTTCGAGATGTTTCTTGAAATATGACTTGTTTAGATGCTACAAGAAACCATGCGCCCATGTTGTCTCTATCGAATCGAATCCTTTAACTAAATCTTGTGAACCTCGAATTGGGATAAAGTACATTGGCATCTTCTTGCTATTAAAATCTGATTCTTTTGTTAATTTGTTTTTATAATTTCTTAGTGATTTTTTGGAATTAGAATGGGATTTTTGAGAACTGAGAAGCTTCAACATAGTTTATAGACTAACGGTGAAGATTGAAAACACATGGTCACTAACACATACATATCTCCAGTTTAAATTTCACGAAATTAAATAAAATTCGATACATTAAATCGTAATTTAGCTTTCAAATCTAAGAATTAGTCTGATAGCATATGTAATAATAAATATTTTGACCAAACCAAACCAAAACCGTCAGTTTTGAGTAAAAGCAACCGACCAAACCAAAACAAATCCGACGTTTTGAGTAAAAGCAACCGTAGAACTGTTAGTGAACCACTCAATTTCAATCCAAATTTGGCTCAACGTGTCTGAACCGGGCCCCATCGTGTCTTCTCTCTATTATTCTCTTCAGTAGAAATTTAAAATCAAATAAAGCAAAATAAAGGTTATTTGAATACCCTTTGAAATCCACATAATTACATATATGTCCCTAGTCACTTTATTCTATTTCACTCTCTCCCTCACTTTCCCCTCTTTTAGGGTTCTACACTCCCACAAACGATCGATTCCTGATTCTTCTCCAGTTCTCTTTCCCTTCTCCGTTTCCTTTGTTAGGGTTTTAGCTTAAGAGATGGGTCAGATCCAATACTCCGATAAATACTTCGATGATACTTTTGAATACAGGTAAAACTTTCAATTTCGCCTTCTTCCTCCAAATTTTAGTATCGAATTTCCAAAATTTATAAAGCTTGATCGGTGATACGTACAGACACGTCGTACTTCCTCCTGAAGTTGCTAACCTTCTACCTAAGAATTGTGTTCTCTCCGAAGTAAGTTTCTTCGTATATTATTCTGTGATTGTGATCTAATCCTTTTGATCATCGCAGTTTATAAATTTTTCGGGATTGTAAGCTTGGAGATTCGATAAGAGATAGCTTCAGCTTAGGATTAGGATTTGAATTTTGATGTTCATGGCTATTCTGGTTTTCTATGGAAATCTTTGCTCTGATCCAAATTGCAACTGTTTACAAAGTGTTCATTGTTTCATCCGGAAAACTCAGAGATTTAACTGCACTCTTGTATAAGAAATTTGAAGATCTGGGTCATGTTCAAATGGAGAAATCATAAGCTTGTTTGTTCATCAATGTAGGAATTTGTTGTTGATAGTGATGATGAATCTACTTCTTGACATTCTTATGTGAATCTCTTCTAATGGTGAATTGTTTTGTGGAATTGATAGAACGAGTGGCGTGCGATAGGAGTGCAGCAAAGCCGTGGATGGGTTCATTACGCGGTTCATAATGCTCTTCAGGAGGACTCTTAATTACCAGCAGCAGCAGGAGAATCAAGCTCAGAACTTGGTCGCTAAGTGAGTAATGGCATAGTAGAAGTTATGCGTGATTCGATGGAATATCGAATTCAATGTTTCATAACTCTGATGATGACTTTGTGTTCATGGGATTATGTGAGTGGTACGTAAACTCTGATAAAGTTCTTGTGTTATACAAAACTGGTTCAGGTGGATTATATATCTTCTGCTTTGTGCTCCTTATCCATACTATTAATTCAGGTTCACTTCATTGTTTAAACTTTTTTAATGTGGTATATTACGAAATATGCCATTGCTTTTTCACTTCTCTTCTAATTTTCATTAAGGGTATTTTAGGCATACAATTTTGGTATAATTTATCTTCATATGTTTGTATTATTCATCATAATCTTTCATTATTTCATATCAAAATAACGACATCAATATCTTATATCCTTGAAGATGAGAAAAGAGAAAAGTCAACCTGGATATTTTTTCTTTGGGTCTTTGAACAGTCGCGATGATCCCTGCATTTGAGAAATCCAGATGATGAGAGATTACGATATCGATCAAGGCGATTTGTGCTGGAGAAAAGTTCCGGACTTTATAATCTGTGCAGAGAGCTGTTATTTAGATGAAGACAGAAGTATAGATGAATTTGACTCAGATATCAGCTTTCCAGATGAAACATGTTAATCAAAGCGATAACCGAAATGTTGTTGTGTAGATAGAACAATTGTGGGATATACCTTTTAAACATAGTTTGTATGTTCAGTCTAATGTATCCAATTGAGACTGCAGGTCTCTATATGAAATCTGTTTCACAAAAACGAAAACTTTTATAAAAAATTTTAGGAAAAAGAACTTTCGAAGTTATAGTAATTTTGATCATAGCAGATTAATGGACCTGAATTGATTGTTGTCTATTGATTTATCGCCGGGACTATACCAATGGATGATAGTTTGGTTGTGGATTTTGATGATCTGGAGTAACTGTATGCAGATGTTGAAGACGGCATCAAATCTTCGTTATTTACATAAAAACTGCAATCAAAGTTAAAGTTTGATAAGATGTATCAAAGACATATTTTAAAACAGTAGAATCTGATTAACAACTTTAACGAAGAGGTGAACAAATCAATCAGTACACATCTGCTAACAATATTTCGAGAAATATGTCTTTGCCATAAGCCAAAAGGTTTTGTAGATGTAGATTTGACATATACAATTTTTCAAATATGAATTATAAAAATTAGCATCATTGCCGTTGATTAGTCCAACCGACTGGTATGTTACTGTTCTGATTTGAAGTTTCATTGATCTGACAAAAGTAAAGCTTTTGCTTTTTTCTTCTCCCAATATATGACATATCGAGAAGTTCAACATCTATTTATATAATAGGAAGCCCTACAATGAGTGTTCTATAAGAGACGTTTGTTGGTTTTAGTTATTAAGTTTTGTAAGAGAGAAATGTCTTCCATTACTACCATTCAAAACATGGGAGAATGGAAGACGAATTGGCAAATTTCATGGTAGCCCTATGTTGCATTTCATTTTTGTTGATCAACATGTAAGTTTCGTTTACTATGTTTTTTTCTTTTTCCTATACCATTTAATACATCTATGGTGTATCCTAAATAGCCTATGTGTATAATAGGGAACTAAAAATACAAGCATCAGTGGAGATGGTGTCTTTTCTTGATCGCTTCGATAGCGAGTTATATGAGGGACAATAGAAGATTATCAAACATTTCGTAGTGAGAAATGTCACTTCTCCTATCCGTTTAACTAGACTTACGAAGTGTTTGATTATTGTGAGTAATACCGAAGTTATGGAAACGTACCAACGTTCGATATATCATTTTATGAGATTCATCAGTTTCCAACATCTAATGCGTGAAAGTTGGGATAATAGGAGCTACCCTGTTGGTATGTATTCTTATTCTCTAATAGTCATTTTCTAAAGATGTATGTGAATAAGGATGTATTTAAATGAAATTTTGGTATTTGCAGATGTTGTAGGAATCGTCGATCATGTTGGAGAACTCGAGATTGCTCCATCTCCTCATTTAGTTGATATAAATATATGCCAATTGCAATTTCGTCTCAGAGACACAGAGTATAATTATTTTCAATGTTTTGCCTTAAGTTGATTCATTACTGTTAATACTAATATTTAAGGATTATCTGTGAATCCTATTTCTGAATAACGTATAGGGGTTACGAAGTAGAGTTTGTTGCAAGTGGGAAGATGGCTATTGAATTCTATGAGCAATGGAACCAAATGCTTCAACTGGTGACCAAGGGAATGAGGAGGAATAATTAATTCCTCTTCATTCCTTAAAATTTTTACCATTTGCTAGTAATAATATTTCCCTATCATTCCTTCTTATTCCTTATCATATAAGGAATTATAGAACAAATGTATTCCTTATTAAAATTAGGAAGGAACAAAATATATCTATTTACTTCCTTATATATTTTTCATTCCTATTCATTCTTTTTTTTGTTCCTTTTATTCTTTTTCTTTTCATTCTTATTCCTTTTTTATTGGTCACCAGTTAAAGCCAAAATTACGCAGATGGGGGATTAGTTATTTGTGTATTGGGTGATTGGCGAATACATGATGATGGTTGGTTCTGTATATAACCTTTACTAAAGTTTTCAATGGAGTTATTCATATCCTGATTCAGATTTGGTCTAATCCATTTTCATGCATTTATAATATGTTTCAAGTGCAGTATATATTTACTCCCTCGATTTCAATTTTGTAGCTATTAAAAATGATGAAGGTATCTCTAGGTTGTGGTTTGATCTTCAGATTAACGAAGTTGAAGAAATCAAGAATATAATGTATGGATATAACTAAATATGTGAACCTAAAATTCTTGCAGTATTATACGATAAGCGATGAAGATGATGATGATGGGGAGTAATTGATACGTGCATAGTTTCGATGTTTTTATCTATGCTATTGTTCTATATGTATTTTTCTGGCTTCTATGGTTGTTATTTAGCATCTTTCTTTATTTTGTAACAATGTTTTCTTTGCATTACTTAAAATAAACGCCTATCATAGTATATACTAATAAATTTTGTAGTCTATTCATGGACTGTTCAAGATTTTAGAAATTTCATATTTGTTCATAGAGAGACAGTCAATTGATTATATCTATATCAATCAATATATATTTAATAAGATGTAATCAAGTCAAATAACTAATCAAAATGAAAGTTGATATATATAAATGTATTTTAAGGGAATAAATCATATTTAATATTTGAAAATCTTAACTTAATTCTATAAATATGCTTTGTTGGAAACTAACGAATAAACTCTGTAACGAGAATATCTATTATATCATTGATTAATTAGTTATTCCTATAAATTTTGTTCCGTAAGTGATATTAATTGATTACAGTTATGATTTGATATACAGAGAATATTTAACTTACGTATTAGATTCAAACCTAATTCTTTGGACTATATATAGTCATTTATCACTTTCATAAAATGCATCATCTTATATCATTTTGTAGTGCATAAAAATCAAAATACGACAGCAATGGAAATTTCAAACATGATAACGTACCTTAATGATGTGAAACCGTTCAAGTCAGGGTGGCGTGTGCAAGTTAAAGTTTTGCATTCCTGGAAGCAGTACTCTGTTCCACAAGGAGAATCACTGGAGATGATTCTAGCAGATGAATCAGTAAGTTTTCATATGTAATATATTCACAATTTTATCAAGATATAGAATACAATCCAGTCTAATTTTATTTTATTCTTTAGGGAGTCAAAATACATGCGTCGTTAAAGAAAACTTACTGGCCAAGGCTCAAGAAGGAACTTCCCATAGGAGAGTGGAGAATTATCGAGAACTTCACTTTAACTCCCGCATCTGGACAGTACAGAGCCACTGAACATGCATACAAGATATCTTTCGTCAGTGGAACATCTGTCACAAAGTCAAAATTGAAGAACAGTGATAACTTTATTTCTTTCACCACATTCGAGGAGATATTACGAGGGGATCTAAGAACTCACTTCTTGATTGGTAACTGATTTTGTCATAATTTTATCCTATGTTTTAATAGTATGGAAAGATTATCATTTAGAATTTTTTGATATTTCAGATGTGATTGGCCAAGTCGTTGATATTGGTGAAATTGATATTATCCAAGTCAATGGTAAAGACAGAAAGAAGATTGAGTTTCACTTAAGAGATACTTGGTATGGTCTTCTTAAGGATATCAGCGAGAGGATTTTCTATGTTTTCTTCTTTGATATCCACTTACGTTCATTTCTGTTACTATTTGTTCTAAGGGACGAGAGCCTGAAATGTTGTCTATGGGGAAGATATGCTGAACAAGTCCGTACAGCTTGCGATGAAGCCTTATATGGGAAAGTTGTTTGCGTAATTAGGTTTGCAAAAATCAATTTTGTTAGATATATTTTTAAACTATAATATAGCATTGTATATAAATTATATATGTACATAACCGTTTTTATATTATGTGTACATTACCGTTTTTAACTTCTTTCAAGTTTTTCGTAGGAGATCTTCAAATCACAAACGCTTTTGATATATCTCTCTTGCTTTTAAACCCTCTATTGCCTGAAGTTGATGAGTTTAAGGAAAATTGAGTGTTTTAGTAAATTGTGGTTTTTTTCAACTTATACGTTTCTACAAATAAGTAGCATAAATAATTTTTTCTTATTCGATCTATGAAGATTACCGTAGGATGGACTTGCATTAACTATACTTGAAACTAATGATGAAAAGAGATTTCTTAAGAAAAGGGAGGATAATTGGGCTCTCCTCCCTCAAATATCAATCAAGAAAATTGTGGATTCTCTTGAGGTTAGATAGTTTATAATCTTGACCATAATTGTGTACTATTTAATGTTTTATAGGATCCTTATTTCTGTTGTTCTGATTAACGACTCTGACATGTATGATATCTTTATGGATATAACATTTTCACAGATTGAGCATGTTAAAGTGTACCATTGCTGGTAATGATAATGATTGGGCTTGGTATTATTTTGGGTGTGGAAAA